GCAAATGCAATCGGGTGGAGAAGACACAACCTGACCCGGTTCTGACCCGAAAGAAGAAATTTGAATTTCAAAATCCCAAGAGTAATGGTGGCCAATCCACTGCTTCGAGGGCACCTCAGGAAACAACTTGGAAGTCCAAATACAGCATAGAAGAGAAAGGAAAGTGGATTGATACTGGGTCGAGCAAAAATGTCCGGAAGAGGAGAAGCCCAAAAGTTAAATGGCTTTGGAGGCCCAAAAAGAAATTATCTCCAATCAAGCTTACCAGGCCCGAGATTTTACTGGGTGGTGTTTTGGGTTCGGGTTTGGGTCCATCTACTCCTTATAAAGAAGTGATCGAAAACAGAGGGGAAGAAAAAAGGGATTTCATCTTGGATAAAGGTTCAGATAGAGAGAATTTAGAAGACAGAGAAGATGTCTCTGCCCAAAATGAAATCCTTGACCATGAGACAATGAATTTATCCAACCAAGACGATATCGGAGAGGAAGAAAGGATTCCACTTGCCATGGTGGTTGCGGATGAAGCTCAAAGCGAGAATTTGAATGGTACGTCTGTTTCTAACTCTTGATTGGAAATTATGATTTTTCCTGAAGCAGGTCAAGATTATACACCGATGGATTTTGAGCCTATGGATTTCTCCTCGGAACAACTCAACATGAGTTGTTCGAAATATTCACCAAATAAGTGTTGAGTTAGGGGTTTCCTGAAGGGATTAGAACAGCATGCTTATTTTCTGTTTTCAGAGCTGGGAAAAAGAATGAAGGAGACAATGAATAAAGATGAATTGGTCAGAACCCCTAAAAAGAAAAAAAGAAGTAGGGTTAAGGGAACTTCTATGCTCTTCAATAAATTATGATGGTCGGCACAAGAAGAGGTTAGAATTGAGGGGTGAAAAAATTGAGTCAAATGATAGATAAGATCATTTGATGGAATATGCGGCGGGGGGGAGGAGGAAAATCATAAAAGGCTGCCTCAGCCGCTGGAAGGCGGCTATAATATGTCTCCTAGAAACTAAAATGGAAGTGATTGATGACAGATTCATTAAGAGCATTTGGGGTATCAAAGATTTTGGTTGGCTGCATCGGCCAGCTTTGGGGTTGGCCAGAGGTATCCTCCTATTATGGAACAAGGATTTAGTGGTATGTAAAAATTCTTTCATTGGCAATATCACAGTACTTGCCTTGTTTGCCTCCGGTCATCTTGGTACAGAATGGTATTTTACTGGGGTCTACTGCAGGGGCCAACAAAGAAGAAAGGAATTTACTCTGGAAAGAACTATTTGACGGTCAAAATTGTTGGGTTTCTGTTGGTGTTGTAAGGGGGATTTCAATATGATACTGAACAAAATTGAACGGTCTGGGGAGCACTTCAGTGAGTCTATTGCGGGGGAATTTAAGGATAACCTGGAGGCACTAAATCTTTTTGATATTCCATTAACTGGTGGATCCTGAACCTGGAGCAATCAACGAAATTCCGCAAGTTTCTCCAGAGTCAACAGATTTCTAGTTCATCTATCTCTCTTGCTTAAGCTGCCTAGGCTATATCAGAAAGTTCTTCTGCGCCCAATTTCTAATCACTTCCTGATTTCCTTATCAGATAATGGGATCCACTAGGGACCCATTCCTTTCAGAATAGAAAACAAGTGGTTTAAGATGGACAACTTTAAGGAGTTGGTCGAAAAGGTGTGGAATAGCTCTCATATTGAAGGTTCTACAAGTTTCAGGATTGCTTTTAAATTCAAAAATCTGAAAAAAGAGATTAAAAGACTAAAGAGGTGGGTCTTAAAGAAGATGTTGCTATCAATGACATTTTGGAGGAGCTAAATAAGTTAGAGAGTCAAGAAAGGGACTCCGGTCTTAATACAGATGAAAAAAACAGAAGGAACCATTTGAGAAATGATGTGGCCGAGAAACTAAATAGGAAAGCAATCTCTTGGAATCAAAAATCAAGAGAAAAATGGTTGAAAGACGGAGATAGAAACACAAGATTCTTCCAGTGTTTAGAGAGTCAAGAAAGGGACTCCGGTCTTAATACAGATGAAAAAAACAGAAGGAACCATTTGAGAAATGATGTGGCCGAGAAACTAAATAGGAAAGCAATCTCTTGGAAGCAAAAATCAAGAGAAAAATGGTTGAAAGACGGAGATAGAAACACAAGATTCTTCCAGTGTCTTGCAAATCACAGGAGAAGGAAAAATTATGTTGAAGAGTTAAACTTTGAGGGAAAGATGATGTCGGGTAATAAGGACCTTAGAGAAGCAGCAAAAAGATATTACCGGTAGTTGTACTCTAAAGATTTCCATTTACGGCCAAAGCTGGACAATCTCCAATTTGATTCACTTGACAGTGCCAACAGTGAGCTACTTGAAACAGAGTTTTCACAAAATGAAATTGTTGCTGCACTTAAAAGCTATAACGGGGACAAAGCCCCTAGTCCTGATGGGTTCAGTTTTAGATTTATTCAGACATTTTGGTATCTTTTGAAAGAGGATGTGTTTAATGTTTTTAAGGAGTTCCACCGTGATGGGGAGTTCGTTAAATCCTTAAATTCCACTTTCATAGTCCTCATTCCTAAAAAGGAGGGAGTTAACTGTTTCAAAGACTTTCGGCCCATTAATTTGATCAGTAGCCTTTACAAATTGATTTCCAAGGTCCTATATAGAAGATTATCTCAAGCTCTACATCTGATTATTGGGGAGAGTCAACATGCTTTTATAAAAAATAAACAAATCTCCGATGCGTTCATGATCGCTGATGAGATAGTTGATGAGCTGATTGCAAACAAAAAGCAAGCGGTTTTTTGTAAACTCGACATGGAAAAAGCTTTTGATCATGTCAATTGGGACTTCATTGATTACATATTTTGTTCCGGTGTGGTTTTGGTACCAAATAGAGGAAATGGATTAGAACTTGTATTACTTCTACTAGTTTCGCGTTGATGGTTAATAGAGGGACCTCCTCCTTCTTTAGGGCCTCCAGAGGATTACGTCAAGGTGATCCGCTCTCTCCCTTACTCTTTATTATTGTTATGGAGGCCTTTAGCAAGATGCTGATGAGAGCTATTGAACTTAACATGATTAAGGACATCAAACTAGGGAAAGAGAGTAGGAAGCTTGAAATATCACATCTCTCTTTTACTAACGATTCTCTGATATTTTGCGAACCCAAAACAGAATACCTTTTGCATTTGAGCTGCATACTTCTTTGTTTCCAGGCTGTTTCGGGTCTTAAAATAAATATGAACAAAACTGAGTTGGTGGATATCGGTTTAGGTTATGGTAGGCTCCTTCTATAATGAGCTTTTGGCTTGGGAGGGTTTAAACTCAAACAATCATATTAATCGACTTATCCCACTTACCATATTTTGGGTTATTTGGAAAGAAAGAAACAATAGAGTTTTTGAAGGCATTAACGATACTTTTATAAATATTAAGGATAGACGGCTTCATTGTTTTGGCTCTATTTTTTGGGTTGTAACTTATTATCCTTTGATGATATGGGAGTTGTTGTGGATATCTTCATTGATATGTAAATCTTTTGTACATGAACGGTACCTCCTTGGTATCTCTTTCTAATACGTTTACTAACTTATATCTAAAAAAAAAAAGATAATAGAATCTTAACACCTGCTTTTAGATGCATTTATCAACCCATAAGTTGGTCATTTCCAGGCCATCAAGGACAAAAATTGCATGAATAATTAATGTTGATAATTTGGGTTAATTGGCAGGAAGCACATTGTTGTAGCCAGTGGGGACATGACTTTCGCCCTGATTATAAGAACCTTGGTATTCTCAAAACTCAGTTTCCTACTGTTCCTGTGGTGGCTTTGACGGTATGTCTTCGTACTTTCTTAGGCACATATGCATACTTGCAATAGCTCTATATGCGGGTCTATGCATATGTTTGTTTTTATGTAAATTTATATGTATGTTTGTGTGCTGACTGTACACCCATACATTTGCAAGTATATGACTGTTCTACATAGGCACTCTGTTCTATGCTGCAATCTTTTCGACCAATATAATGATCTTACATTCTTATCTATTTGGCAGGCAACTGCTACCCAAGAGGTCCAAAATGATTTGATAGAGATGCTACACATTCCAAAATGTGTCAAATTTGTCAGTACCGTCAACAGGCCAAACCTGTTTTATACGGTATACTATTAATAAGATTTGGCTTGTCATGTATATTCTGGCTTAACTGAACATCAAAATTTTCTTCCCTAACTCTGCAGGTCAGAGAAAAGTCATCTGTTAGTAAGGTGGTGGTTGATGAAATTGCCGAGTTCATACGAGAGTCTTATCCAAATAATGAATCTGGAATTGTTTATTGTTTCTCCAGAAAGGAATGTGAACAGGTGTGAATTTTTTTAACAATTTCATTCTTACAATTCTATTTTTGATGAATTTTTAGCCTTGGTCATAGATTGTTTGCTAGTTTAATTGTCTTCAATATATGTCATTTTCTGTATGTTGTCTTTTCCTCAGACTAAAGAATATGGTTGTACTGAAATGCCATAAAATCTTCTTTTGTTAATAGTATTTCCATTAAATCATTTTCACTAATATTTTTTTTTAATTTTTTTATTTTATGTCGTACTGTTCCTCAGATTAAAGAATATGGTTGGACGGAAATGGCATAAAAAGTTCTTTTCTTTATAGCATTTCCAAATGCTTAGTTCGTCATATACAATCCTGTTTTATTCAATGTTCTTGGCAATTTAAACATCTAGATATTGGCTAATCTTTGTATGGAACAAATTGTTTGATGTTCTCATTTGTTTTTGTTTATTTTCCATTCGATTCTGTCAATTTTTAGTTCTATTTCTTGTAGTTTTCACATGTATAATTAGAATACAGTATGCTGTGCCGTAGTGAACACACCTCAACTTGAATGGTAAGAATTTATTTTTACTTATCATAGGAGTTGAATTCCACTATCAAAGAATTCAAAGAGGGAGTGGTGATAACTTATACATAAAAAATTATATGTTAATGGTACATATTAAGACTAATATGAGAATTAGAATTGAGAATTTACTAGGAACCAAATTAGGAATGAACCAAAAGCAGAGAGTTTTGGAGGTAAACACATTAAACCTAGATGCTTTAAGTTAATTGGAAATTATGTATTTGATGACTCATTCTTTCTGCAGTTTATTGCAGAGAGATTAGCTATTCTCCGTTGAATTTTTGTTAGTTCTTTATTTTATTTATTTATTTATTTTTGGGGAGGATGTCAAATCGTCATGGTTGTATCTTCTTTTGATTACTCATAGGAATAGTAATAGTCTACCTTGGTTACTTTTATATTTTCTAGTTTATTTATGTTTTGTCTTTATAATTTTTTCTGATAGAAGAAGAACATTTATTAAGATAGAGGAGAAAAATACAAAGAAAGAAGGGAAGGATATCCTCCAGATGTTTCAGACTACAGAGATTGGGAATAGTATTAGTATTTCCTATTATTAGGAATAGTATCAGTAATCTTATTATCATTAGTTTCTTATTTTATTAAAAAGTGGTATTCCTAATCTTACTAGTTTTAGTATTTCCTAGTCTATTTGAGAAAGATTTATTTGACACTATATATACACTGCAACCTCTTTGTGATTGTCATTTCAATTATTTGGTAACATATTTTGAGAATTTCTCTTACTTGATTGTGTGATTCAACTATATCCTAAGTGTGATGCCTAAGATCCCTATATATATCTAAGTTTATCCCCAAATCCTAAAGTCGGTAAATTAATGCTATTTGTCATACAATTTCTTTTTCTTTTATTGATATTTCTTTTGTTTTAAATTAAAATTTTGGAAATTATTACTAAATTGACACATGTTTTGTGCTCATCGTCTAGGTATGAATATTTTTAACTAGGTTTTAAAGCGATTTTCTTATTTTTCCCTTTCATTCCTGAGAGTTATAGATTGCAGGTGAGTTACGTGAAAGAGGAATTCTTGCTGATTATTACCATGCAGACATGGATGTAAATAATCGTGAAAAAGTTCATATGCGGTAAATTTAATTCATTGATCTAGAATTGCTGCAAGTACTCTGATTCGACAATTTTATTTTGCATTCTGTTGGAAATATGTATAGTAACAGTTTATATGTGGCACATCAATGCTAGGCAGTCATGTATATTTATATATTTCTGTAATTGTGGAAATTAATAGGAAAGGCATGTAGGATCATTTTTTTAAAGAAAAGGAAAGTTCAGAAAAGAGCACTAAGGGACTGCAGGAGCATCCTGAACGTAAAAGAAAAACAGCAGTTATAGCTTTCTCCATTTTCTTTTTCTTATTATCACCTCTGCCAGCTAGCCTTCTTTGACTTATCTTATTTACATCATTGCAGAAGAATTTAATAATATTGGGACCTTGAAATTAGCTGCGAATGGAATTAAATAACAAATTAACAAAATGTTTGAAAAGACAAATTTATAATTGACTAAAATCTTTTATTAAAAAAAAGTAATTGGCTAAAATCTTGAATTCCCTCTTAAATCACATAGGATTCATGGACATTCCACTATGCATGCTAATTTCTCTCCTGATGAGAATAAACAATGGTCAATCCTCGCAGCTTAGAAAACCTTACCATGACCATTGTCAAGATGGGTCAGCCTCTAACAAGGATGAAATCAATCAACCTAGGGACAGATCTAGGCATTCTTACCAATTTGGGCAACCCAATCCTGATTTGTTTTGGGGCGAAGGGGGAGACAATCATAGCAATCTATATGAACTCTTGGACATCTCTAAGCAAGACAAGGTAGAGGTTGCTAACTATTATGGTAAACTAGACGTAGATGGCTTCTTAGATTGAGTAGTTTGCATGCAAGATTACTTTCACCAACTTTTGTTGACCAGAATCAATTAGAATCCATTTCCTATGATGAAGTTGTTAATTAGAATCAATTAAAATCTCTACAATAATATTAATTTTCTTATTTGTAAATAGAAATTTTATATAAATATCATTATTGTAATAGCACTGTATGTATGAGAAAATAAAATTAATATTTTTCTCTGAAAATTTTCATAGTATCAGAGGCAACGTTTTAGTGTTCTAATTTTATGATTTTTTTTTTCAAATCCTAAAATAACGCAATTAGTTGAGTTAGTACCCACTTATCAAGATTTACTCTCACCATCTATCCAGACAGAGTCATAACTCATTGCGGGCCTGCCCCCCGACTTCAGTGACTATCTTCCAAGTGCATGAGCCAATCGCGCCACCAGAAAGTAAAGATGTGAGCCATACGTGCCTCTAGAAAGTCTACTATCTAGCTCGAATCACATCGCAATGCTGCCAGAACACCCCGATCGGGATTGATTTAGACTTGTTGCACGTTATTCGGCTTGAATCGTGTCTCTCCGACTCCTGCCTTCAAGCAGCCACCGATTGCAGAGCCATCCTGTAGATTTGGGGCATTCTGCCATGTACAGAGCCGTCTCAATCTGGTTCTTTCGTGCGTTGAGCCGATCGTTTTTCTCTGTTTGCAGGTTTTGCATGCGGTTGCTTCTGTCGCCGCTTTTCACCGAACCGGTCTATTTTTGGTCACCATCTTCGAGCTTTCAACATATTTCATTTCTTTTTCGGCTTAATCCTGCTGTTCCCAACTCCGTTGATACTGGTTAGAAGATCTGTTATATCCTTGTGAGATTAGCTACTGGGTATTATTCTTTTCCTATTTCTAGTTATTTTAAAAAAATGACAGAAACAAAAGAATTGATTATTTTTAGTTCGAATAACCCCTCATTACAAATCAGTTCCGTAAATTTTATTAGAACTAATTAACTTGTTTGTTCAATATTTCATTTGTTGTTTATCAAAGTTAGATGATTGCAGAGTTATATTACTGCTGATATAAAGAAACTAGATGTCACTAGTTTATATTATAACATATGAGAATCTAAAAACTCTTTGGTAATGTCTTAACTCATTAATTCCATACAATCTCACATTGCTCAAACATATTTGTTGTTCGATAGTGTGGTAAAAATATGAAATGCAGTGTATCTTATATACTCACAAGTGAATAATGATGTCCAAATATTTGAATTGCAAAATAAAGTTCATGGCACAAAATAAGGAGAAATAACTATTTAGCAATATTCTTTTGAGCTAAGTGGACTATACTAGAAGGTAGATTACCATCAAGATTTTCAGACAAATTGTACTGAAAATATTGTCAAATTTTGGAAACTAATAGAGGAGCGGATTTATGATTTCTTGGCTAGCCTGAACATCAAATATGATCAAATCCGGGTTTAGATATTTGGTAAGGATGCTCTTCCCTCATTACAACAAAGTTATGCTTTTGTCCAATAAGAAGAAAATAGAAGAAATGTCATGTTTCACATAGCACCAGTTGAGAAGATAAGGAACCAAGGATAATCTTGTCTTTTCATAATAATAAAATTAAAGTTAGAGTTAAAAAATAGAAAAATGGAAAGAAAAGATCATGGCCATCCATTCATCAGCCTAGACATGTGTCTTGATCTCAAGAGGGTTATTTAATCCTTTCAAAATGTAGGATAACCAGCCACTTCCTCTTTTATCTTCAACCAATGAATATAGGGATTTCCTCTACAACTCTTTCGCTTCCATAGAAAATTGACGATCTATTTACTTGTTTATATATCTTTTCTTTATATATAAATCATCTATCTACATATATGTAGAAATCAATTAATGAATGAAATATTTTGGATATATCATCACTATTTCTCTCAAATTTCTATATATCTCTCTCAATACTATCTTTCCTCTATGATTTTCTATCTCTTATTTTTGTTATTCTCATTCTATAATCTCAAATCCTTCTATTTCTCCTCTCATTGTCCCTCTCTTTATTTCAAACCCGAATACATACCTTTTTAAATCAGGACCATGTACCTGGGTCTTCACAGAAGACTAGATTAGTTGCACATTCCTTTGACCAATCTAAAAACCAACGACATTGTGACTACTATGGCAAGTTGAGACATGCTAAGAAAATGTGTTGGTAATTGCATGAACAACTAATTAGAAGTCGTGGTGTAAAGAAAGGTGGATCTACAAGAGCTCAAGCTAATTTGGTTGAGGCGAGTGAAACTCCGGACACACTAATAGTTGTAGCTTTTTCAAATAAGAAAATTAAAAATTGAAGCATATCCCATCTCAACTTAATCCTTCATCAAATATTGGTGCATCAAGTATGGTAAAATCCTGTATTGTTTCTTCTCCCTGCTATTTTCAATTCTAATACTTGGGTTATAAATTCTGGAACTAACAAACACATGGCAGACTTTTCTAAAAACTTTTTAACCTATTTTTCTTGTATTAAATGGGAAAATATCTGTATAGCAGATGGATCATACACTCCTATATTTGAAACACTTTCCATTAATTGCACTCTCACTATTATATTGTCATCAATCATTCATGTACCTAACTTTCCTGATAGTCTTTTATTCATTAGTGCCATCACTAGAAATTTTAACTGTAAAATCGAATTTTTTCCTGATTATTGGATATTTTAGGATTTTCAAATAAGGAAAAGAATCGATACTGATAAACTACAGGATGCTTTATATGTCTTGGATAAAACTTAGAGTTTAATTGAGAATCAAGTCACTCTTGGGAATATGGAAGTCAATCTGGAAATTCTATAATGGCATTGGCAGTTGGGATATTCTTATTTTTTTGTCTTAAAAAAATTACATCCCAGTTTGTTTAAAAGAAGTTTTATGGATTATTTATTTTGTGATGCATGTGACCTAACTAAATATAAAATTTTTTTTTATCAATTAGATAATACTAAAAGTCCTACCCTTTTTATGGGTATTCACTTTGATGTTTAGAGATCTACTCAGAATACCTCTTTATCTGATCGTAGATGGTTTGTTACTTTTAGTAACTGTTGAACTAGATTAACATAGATTTATCTGTTGAAAGTAAAAAACGGTTTGTTATCATACTTCTAATCATTTCATAAAATGATATATATATAGTTCAATGGTAAGGTTAAGATTCTGAGAACTGACAAATGTACATAATATGTGGATAGTGGATTTCTTGCTTACTTGGAGTCTAATGAGATAATTTAATAAATGATTTGTCCTACCCTAGTGAACAAAATGATGTTGTTGAAAGGAAAAACAGATACATACTGGAGGTATTTCGGTTACTGATGTTTACCATGAATCTAATGAAAAGTTACTGAAGCGTTGTAGTTTTTTCAGTTGTTTATCTTATTAACAAATTTTTTTTGCAAACTCTCAATTTTAAAAGTTCTTTGCAGGTTTTATAAGGAGAAAATTCCTACATAGTTCTCTCAAGAGTGTTTAGATGTGTTTGTTTTGTCCATGGTAGAAACTTAGACAAGTGGAAACTCAGAGCTTTTAAACGTATCTTTGTTGGATATTCCCCCTACTAAAAAAGGGTACAAATGTAATCATTTTTCGTGTAGAAGGAAGAGATTATGCGTAGTTTGTTAACTCTTGACAATCATATTTAGGGAGAAAGTTCTATTTCAGAGGGTTTCGTTTAATGAGAAAATGTCGG